GCTGTCACAGCATGTGAGTACTAAACTAAGTTCTCATTCACACACAAGTTTATGTTAAAAACACACGAGTTACAAAAACAGTCGGTTATGTCTGTGAAGGTAAACAGCTGGGAAATAAATTGCATGTTTATATGTTTATTTTACATCTGTGTGGCAGCAGCAATATACAGTAAATAAACCAATAAATACACTGCTTGTCTCCTCTGAGGCTGGGACTCTATATAGCGTTCTGTGCTTGTCTGTGCAGCCAAAAGCAGAACAGTTAGCATGTTTTGCTCAAACTTTCGCCATGGCATTAGAACTAGTACACCGTTGTCGCTTGCGAAAACACAACAACGGCGCCGTAGGTGTAAACCATAGACTGTATAAAAACATGGACGTAGTGTCCGTGACGTCACCTGTAGGTTTCCGAAGAGCGTTTTTGAAGCCTAAAGTAGGCGGAGCTGTCCGTCGCCATTTTGGCAGCGCGTCACTCTCGGATAATTGAAAATGGGCAAAGAGGCGGGAGCTGGTTGCTGGTACCAACTTCCGTGTTGGCTTCACGAGAGAGAGTGGGAGGTTGCCGCTTGGTGTAAATTTACAGATTAAGGGGCGGTAATATTATAATTAGATCCCTTTGCAGAATGAGGCAATAATAATTAGTTTAAATAAAGTATCAAAAGCAAGTAATCTTATGGTTTTATTGAACAAAACTGTTAAAATACATAATGTATTATAAACAAACAATAGAGCTTATGTACATTACACATTATAACAAATGCCAGCGGAGGGCACCAACTGCCTGACGATTGTTTTTACCCTTTACAGCACAATCTAATCCTTGTTTTATTGTCTTTTGTTGTTATGGGCTACAGATTTCTTGCCATATGTCTGTTTCTTGCATCTCACGACTGTGTCGTGTACGAAATAATGTCTGTGAGCATGTGTGTAAAACAACAAACTGACGATTTATATATAATCATTTGTAATTGTATATACATTGACTGTGGAGTTCTGACGTCTTTTTGTTTTCGGAAGTCACAATGGTTCGTGAAAAATCACAGCTACTTTATTCAGGCTGTGTGCATTTTACTGTGAACAGACTGTTTTCAAACTTATATGGTAGTTAAATAGCCCCTAGACCTCAGTTATCGTGAAAAAAAGCCAGGAAATTTCAGTTTTTACAATATGGGACCTTTAATTTAAATGTCCACTTAATATTTAATATTTGGCCAATTCCTTACTACAGAAATGCTACAGCCATAATAATTTCTTGAATATGTGGACATAAAAACGTGTAAACTCAGAGAGAGGGTTTAAACTTTTATTTTGAAGCCACAAGATCCCTGACCTCGGCCTTTATGAAAGACAAGATCTACCTATTGAAGAATTGATAGAAAACGACATCCCAGATTGTACTTCAAATTTGAGGTCTTTTACTTAGTATTTTAATTAGTGATGTGTCAATCATAGCTGATTCAGAATTCAGATATTTTTTTTTTTAACTAGCTAATTGGATTCTGATACTGATACTGATTTTTAAGCAAATTTTTTTTTTGGCTATTTGCTTTATAACAAACAAACTGGCTTTAAACAAAAATATCTAGCCATTTGAAATTAGAGGCAACCACTGCATTTTAATCATGATCTGCACGGGCAGTTGTCTTTAAATTTGATTTAGATTAATTTCAGGATTTAAAACAAAAACAGAATGGTCCGACTTTAGGTGTTATTTATTTATTTGCTACATAAAACATCTACACGAAACAAAAACAGCAGGTCTGAATGAGACGCACTCTCTGACAGCAGGTGGCGCCTATGAACAGGGTTGCCAGGTTTTCGCAATAAAACTAGTCCAATCGCGTTTCGAGGAGGGTTCCCCTGTAAAAATCGCATTCCGGGGGTAAAATACAAGTTTTTCGGTGGGGATCTTCAAGTAAAATTCACATTCCAGGGACTAAATACCACGTTATTGGGGTCGCTTCAACCCACGGACAT